TTTTCCTGCTGCTGTTGTAAATAATGGGATATTTAGGATGTGTATCATGCATTTAAGCATTAACCAGAAGTCTTCTGCTTTATACTCAGTACCATAATGTTTAATCAGAAAGTACACAAATGCAAAGTAAATGCATCAAAATATGAGGTTAGTACAATGCCCGTAGTACATTAAGCAGTGCCAAAAAGACTTAATTATAACAAGATATCACACCATAAATATCAATTATTAGAACAAATTTAGATAGTAACTCCAAAGTTCTCGAAAAATATATTTCAAATCACAGTAAGATTTTAATTTCATCAACGAGCACATGTAAGAGAATAACCAGAATAACAAATAGAGGTTTTTTTCTACACAACATATAAAGATTAAAATGGAAGAAAAGATACATGATTATACGCTTATCAAAAAAGTAAAACAAATTTTTTAAAATAATAATTCTATAAAATTTCAATATAAAAAACCAAAAATTTCAATAAAAAATGCAAACAACTAAGTATACAATAAAAAATACATTACTAGTAATTCAATCATCATGGGTCGTAGCAATGAGGAGCATTTACAAAAACAAAAATTGTATCACCATTTCACCACGAATTTTAATATACAAATTATAAGTCAAGAATCAAAAATAAAAAAAAGGTTATTGAGGCAATTAGAAGTGAAAACTTCAAAGGGGGTACGGTGGGTCTGGAAATATACCAAACATACCTTTTTCTTTTGCAATTTCGACCCAATAAAATTGGTTGTACCTCTTTCCTCTTGAAATTGAAGCACCATGAGCGAGATTTGAAACGAAAAAAATAGATCGGAATAAATTTTTGGTGTGAAAGATTTGGCTTAGATTTGAAAAAAGGGGAAATGGATCGTGAATGAGAGGAGGAAGGGGAAGAAATCAGATTGTGTATCTGTGAAAGATTTGGAACAAATTAAACGTGAATTTAGGAGTTGATTAATTGGAGAGAGAAACGAAATATTAAGGAAATACATATTTGCCCCTGATAAGTAAAGATGATTTGCAATTCAGAGTGTTAAATCCGACGCTTCAGATTCATTCTTATTTCTTTCATAAGATCTCATTCTCACATGAACCGAAATTATATATATATATATATATATATATATATATATATATATATATAGATTTTGATGTATTTTCTAACTATGTGTCATTACTTAATTGATTCATTTGATGTTTTTTAATTGAAAATTATTTCATTATTGTTTTATTCAATGACCATTTATTTTGTAAAAAAAAATTCATATCAAATGTGCACATCATGCCACATGTGATGCCACAAGTGCGTACTTTATTTTTATTAAATTTTTATAAACCACCTCCACTTCCTAGCATTAAATAGCCTTAATTTTTATTAAAATTTTATAACCTTTTCATTTTCTAACACTAAATAACCATTATTGTTATTAGTTATTTACGGACACTTCACTTTTGAAAATTTTAGAAATATATCTATTTAATTATAATAACATGTTTTTTCAAAATGCACAAATATTATAACATAAGAATATATAAATTTCATTAACTGAAAAGCAACATTTTGTATGGTTTTTAAAATTATTCACTATTTATTTTATTTTAAGTTTTCTCAATAGAACTATTACAATTATATAAACATTGTGATATATGAATTTTTATTTAATACAAAACTAATTTCATACAGTAATTATTTTATTATATATTTTTCAACAAACGAAGGAAAGAAAACTTTGTTTAAATGAAGGATGACATGTCACATATGCTGCATATAGACTTAGGGGCTGTTTGTTTCAGCCTCTTAATGGTTCAGATGTCTGAATGGTTCAGCACTTAATGGTTCACACTGTTTGTTTCAGCCTCTTAATGGTTCAGATGTCTGAATGGTTAAGAGATTTGCTTCTGATTGGTTAAGTATTATACAGAGTCTGAATGGTTAAGACCTATTATCTGAATTGATCAGACATTTGCCTCTGAATAGTTAAGCAATATACTAGCTCTTAATGGTTCAGACCTCTTACTGATTCAGCACTTAATGGTTCAGACCTCTTACTGGTTCAGCACCTACCTATTCAGAAGTTGCCAAACAGCTTCTTACTAATTAATGGTATGTCATTATGTAATTGGCTCATTTAACATTTCTTTTTTTAATAAAAACAATTTTCATTAACATTTCAATCAGTGACCATTAATTATGTATAAACTTTTCACGCTAGCCTTGCACACCATGTCACATGTCTTGCCAGGTGTGCATACTTATTTTTACATTTAATAAATACTAATTTTATTCATATGTTAAAAACCTTCACTTTCTAACATTAAATCATCGTTATCTTTATTAAGTTGTTATAAAATCATTTACTTTTTAAAATAATCATTATGTTTATTATTTTTTATACAACTCTTTACTTTTTAACTATTAGGAAAAAAATATATTTCATTATTAAATATTTTTTTAAATATGCATAATTATATGATTATTCGATCAAATAAAATTAAAGTATTATAACTTTATTAATTAAAAAAATTACTTTTTATATATTTCTAAAAAGAATCAACCATTTATTTTATTTTCTTATTTCTAACAAATAACTATATTTTATTAACTCTATATTTAGTAAGTATATATTTTACTTCAAAATGTTTTTTTGGCAGCATTATTAAATTTTTAATATAATATTTCAAAACATTAAATTCAATAAACTAGATTTGTTTTTGTTGGCGGATAACACGTGGCATATAGGTCATATACCACAGACGTATCTTTCAATTATTTATCATTACTTAATTGGTTTATTTGGTATTTTTATTTTATTTTTTCAATAATTAAATCAAATTTCACTATTATTTCATTTGATAACAATTTGATGTTTTTGGTCAAGTTGCTCTATACTTTGACCACAAAGTGTACAAAAAGTATATTATATTTAATTATAAAGTAAATGTAGAGAAAATGTATCCATTTAAAGTAAATGTAGAGAAAATGTATCCAAAAAGTAAATGTAGAGAAAATATATCCATTATAAAGTAAATGTAGAGAAAATGTATCCAAAAAGTCTGTCCCGTTTCAAAAAATTTGTTTGCCTTAAAGTCCGTCTCATTTCTATTAAAAAACCACTTTTATCCCTTACTTTTTCATACCCTACCTATCACATCATACCTTTTTGCTAATAATCTACCCATTACATCCTACTTTACCATCAGATCAAGGGTATTTTTGGAATCTCAACACAAAATTATCCCTCCTTATTTTATTACTTTAGTCAAAATGTCTCAATCTTTCTGGGACGGAGGGAGTAATATTTTTGAGATGAAGGGAGTATATAGATTAAAAATCTTAATATATTTTGTTTGATGATTGTATTCATTTGGAGTTTATATGTTACACCATTTTAAAATATATTTTTAAAATATGTTTCATACATAATTAGTTATATATCTAAAAAAAGTATAAAATTTATTAGTCTTTTAAAAAAGAAAGCCTGATGTTGTTTTCAATAAAGTATTTATCATTTTCTTTTTTATTACATCTCAAACTAAAGATTTAATTTATATAAATTTCAGTACATGTACATGCATATTAAAATTAAAACTTTTCTCTTAAAAGAGATAATTTATAGTTAGAAAACATTTATCAAACACATCATATATCATAGAAAATTTAAAATAAACAAAATTTTATTTTTAAGATGTCAAAATTTAAAAATATGCGAGCCCGTGAGAAATATATTATATATATATATATTATAGATTTTGGTTCCGATGAGAATAATTTATTTTTTATGCTTTTTTCTTATTCTTATTAAAAACAGATCAGATCTAATCAAGAATTATTATTATTATTATTTTTATTATTATTATTATTATTATTATTATTATTATTATTATTATTATTATTATTATTATTATTATTATTATTATTATTATTATTATTATTATTATTATTACTCTGCTCCCCTAGGGGACTTCTCTTCCTGACTTTGGACTTCCCCCTCCTTGCGACGAAATCCAGGATTTCGACCCTGCGCCCTATAAGGATGAAGCAGACTCGGAGGGGGAGAGCAAGGAAGTTGGCCAGAGCGACCGGGGTAACCAAAATAACCAAAGGGAGGAGGTTATCCAGACAGCGACCACGGATGATTGATACCCGAATTCTAGCGTCAAAACGACCAGCTTCAGTCTCTAGTCTATTTCCCTTCTGAAGTTGTAAAAACTCATAAGTATTGAGATTTTGCCACTATGTTGGATTTGTATCACTTCAACGGCTGTTTGGTTTAATTTTGAATCTTCTGCATTTTTTGTGTTGATTTACTTCCTCCATTTTGTAGTTCTTTTTTTCGCTTAGATCGGCGCTAGGCCCAACTCTGAGGCCCAACCTCCCAATTAAGCCCACTTGAGCAGCAACCCTAATTCACAAACCGGCTAAGTATGCCGCCCAGCTGTCCAATCACATGGGTCTGATGAGGAGATTGGGCTGGCCCTCTGTGCTAAGCTACTTTACCGATTATGCTCCCCTCAATGTTGACCATCCAAATTCTTCGGTTTCTTCGCCCTACATCCTATATAACCTGCCTTGCTCCTCTCATCAGTCCATGCCTCAACATATTCTCTTGTGTCTAACCTTTGATATACTTACAATTTCCTCTTGTCATGTTTTGAGGGGCATCAACTTCCATTAACATCTTCGGCGGCCCTTCTCCTTCTTCTCCAGAGCCTGTCTCCTCTCCCAGGTCCGTCAATTCTAAAGACTAGGGGGGGGGGGTCTGGACCCTTACAAGTTTTGCTGTCGTCTCCCTCAGCGTCATTAGTCCATGATGAGGACACCACTGATTCCTTCAAACCCATATGATGACTTTAATAAGGCCAACAAGGAGCTCATGTCCAACCGCCTCCCTTCTGGAAAGATAGATTGAGATGCTCTTTGCCCCATCTTCGAGAGACATTATGCGGCTTGGAAGAGTGTGGAGGGTGACCACCTGCCCCTATTGGAGCAAGATGTGGAATACCACTTGGGACCGGAAAAATGAACCTGTGAGAGCCGCACCAACTCACCGGAGCCAGACCAAAGTGAGGCACGGTTCGATTTAGGGCAAGATACTGTCGCGGGGGGAGAGCCGAGACCCTCTTGGCAACTATGGGCTGGTCCCTCCCCTCCTCGGGAGTCTCTTAAGCGACCTGGAGCAACCCCTTCATGGCCCTTCTTCTTCGTTGGGCCCTGTGCACTATGTGGGTAAGCCATGCTTGCAAGGCGATGGTGCTTATTGGGCTCACAGTACAATTGTTTCCCAGGGTGGTGATGCTGGATGGGCGTGGCATAGCTGCAGAACTACCCTTCAACCCTCATTCCTCTACTCTCTGGTGGCTTTGCTTGGGGTGGTTCTATACGTTCTTAAGATTTACGGTAGTTCTTCTACCCAAACACCTTTACACTCCATGATCTTTTTCTTCAAGCCATCAACGATAGTACGATTCGAATCTTCTACCTGGCCATTGGTTTGGGGGTACAGGACCGCGACATAACTGTTCCTTACCCCCCAACTTTGTAGGAACTCGTTGAATCCTTTGGTTTCGAACTGGGTTCCATTGTCGATGATGATCTCATAGGGGACTCCAAATCGGCACAAGATCTGTACAAACTTCCTCTTTTGCTCTTCCGTGATGGTCGGAACTGGGGCAGCCTCGTCTCACTTGGTAAAGTAATCATTTGCAACCACCAGGTACATGTTGTTTCCCGCTCCTCTTGGCCATATACTGACCAAGTTGATCCCCCAGCGAGCAAATGGTATCGCAATGCTGATCGGTGTGTAATTTTTCGCTGGTCACCCTGGCACCTTCTGAAACTCCTAGAACACGTTGCATTTACGGACGTACTCCACACAGTCCCGAATGATCATCAGCAAAAAATACCCCTGCAAAGTCACTTTTCTAGACATTGTGAAAGCCCCTTGATGTGACGAGCATATCCCTTCATAGATTTCTTCCATCAACTTCTGCGCTTCATCATTCCTTAGGCACCTCAGTAACGTCCCATTGTATGATTGCTTGTACAGCCTTCCGCACTCTAGCGTGTAGCTAGGTGCGCGCCGCTTGACGACCTTGGCCGCGACCGGATCCACTGGTACTGAACCTTCTTGGATGTATGCGGTCAATTATCGATCCAGTCTGGTTCCTTATTAACTGCTATTACCCGGACCTGTCCGGGTCTGATTCATGGCTCATATATCTCCTCTTCTTGTGTCATCGCTCTAATATTTTATGGGGAATCCAGCCCAAGCTTAGAAAGGATATTCGCCTCAGTATTTTCCTCTTGGGGAACTTTCTCCACTCGATATGCTCCAAAGGCCTTGAGTAGGTCTGGTGAGGTGTCTTTGTATTTCTTCATTCTTTCGTCCCTCGCTTCAAATTCCCCAATAATGTGGCCGACCACCAGTTTGGAGTTGCATCTAACATGAACCCGATCGGCCTTCATGGAAGCTGCGAGTCTCAATCCACAGAGAAGAGCCTCGTATTCTGTTTCATTGTTAGATACCTTAAATCGAAACCTTACAAAAGAGTAAGCTCTGAATCCTTCTAGTGATATGGCCATGACTCTGCCCCCAAAGCATCACAGCGCCTACTGGTTAGTCACATCTGCCAGGAGATTAAGGGCGAAACTAGACAAAGAAGTGAACGAGTTAGTAGGGAAGGTCACGTGAGGTGGTATTTCAGACGATTGCGAACAGGGAACTAGCGATCAGCTCAAAACTTAAGATAGACCTTGCTGGGGTTTTAATGAGGGGTGAATGAATGAGCGTTGCCCCGTAAGCGGCTTTGGATAAGGGCCCGAATTGGACTTTGAGACAATACTTGTACCGGATATGCTTAGAAATATGGGGTCAACTTCTTTACTTTGCAAATATGGGAACTCATTTTTTCTAAAATGGACTCAACTTCCACTTTTACACAGTATCTTTTAAGGAGTATGTTTTTTTGGGTGCACACAAGAAGATTTTAATCTTCGATACTAATTTTTTTCATTTTAATTACTCCTCCACCGGAATTATATTCTCATTTCGGTTTACAAAGTTTGACCGAAGTTATTTTCAATTATTTGATTATAAAGTTTATATATTAAACACTACATAAAAATCTACAGAATAAGAGTTGACATGACTACATTATATATGAAATATGTAGTCAAAATAATCAAACAAAGTGAATAAAGTTTGACAATGTAAATAGTACTCCGTATATGAGAAGAACTTTTCCGAACAGTGGATCAGAGTAGTATGTTAAAAGTGTTTTTTGGAATGAAATATATGTATAAATTCTAAAATTACAATGACATTTAATTTTTATACTCTTTCACATTTTCATGTTACATTTTAAAAAAAACATGCACTGGTTTTCGTACTCAGTCGAAAGTTCTTGGATACAGATCGTTAATGGTGCCCCCAATTATAAATTTTTCTGGATCCGCCTCTAACCAAGAAGATACGAATAAATGAGAAAAATGATATAATTACTTTTATTTATGGTAAGTTAAGGTAGGTATTTATTAAACTTTTGGGGGATAATTGACGGGGTAGTGAGATTGGGTTCAGATTTGGGACTGGGTAGGGGTGGGAGGGGATTTATCGAGGATCAGGGAGTAAAAATTATATTTTTTGCGAACAACACACTGTTGAAAGACAATATCCTCCATGATCACTCAAAGTGAGTGTACATGAAACTAGCTGGCTGTTTACTACGACGATCTCCAATAGTTCTCTATTTTTTTAAGATGCAGCTTGAATATTTTTTTCTCTAATAGTTCTGCATTTTCAAACTCAACTTCCCACTTTCGTCTTTCTTTCCTCTCATACGTATATATGTTTTTATACCATTCACAAATCACAATGCATTTACTTATATGACTTGCAAGATTGAAATCTGGAAACGGTATATTCATTTTATTTTTTATTTGTGTTCCCTATACTCTGATATACTCCAATATCACGGAGGAAAAATTAAATTAACATAAATAAATAGATTGAAATAGAGTGACACATGTAAAAGACTGAAATTAAAAAAACGGTTTAGGCCTCGTTCCGTTCAGTTTATTTTTTATGTTTTTTTCTTATTCTTATTAAAAACAGATGAGATCCAATCAAGAACTATTATTATTATTATTATTATTATTATTAGGAATTATTATTATTATCATCATCATTATCCTTATCATTATCATTATCATTATCATTATCGTGATTACTCCATACTTTTAAAATTCCATACTTTTTACTTGTTTCACTTGATACGATTCTTTCAAAAAATAAATTTAATTACTTTTAATGTATATATGAATTAAATATTTCTTCTAATGTATATACGAACTAATTATTAAAATATTAAATCAATATTCTTATTTCAGAAAAAAATAATCATAAAATAAACAATATTATTACATTAGAGTATGAATGATTATTCTAATATATGAATTATCTAATTTTATTTCCTTATAAATTAATCACAAATTAAAAAATATTGATTATATCATAATATGAATGATCATTACAATTTTCAAAATTTATTATAAAGTCAGATTAAATTAGTGATTTGAATTTTAAATCAAATCATAAATCAGATCACACCAGATCCAATCAGATCACCCCAGATCCAATCAGATCATATCAGATCCAATTAAATCAAAACTACAAAAAATCAGATCAAATCAGAAAAATAAGTTGAACAGAGCGAAGCCTTAGTTTGTAATTTTTTATATAATATTTGTTGCAAAACCATTACTCCCTCCTCCTCCACAGGTTTTCAGGCAGCTAATCCTCCAGGCACTCTCAAACCTGGGAAGAGCTATGCAGCTGCAACAGTAGCTCATGCCTATCATGGCTCTGTAATCAACCTCCCTCAACGACCAGTAGGCAAGTACAAAGGGCTCCCTTGTATCTCATTCTCCAAAGAAGAGGTAAAAAATCTTGCTGCTAAATTCTCCAAAGCATTAGTGGGTACTTTCTTCTTCAGCAGACCAAGCCTGGATTTCATTCGAACCTCCCTAGAGAGAATGGGATTCATTAGCTTCTCTGTTACACTCATTGACTCTACACATGTTCTGCTAAATTTTTCAAATGAGGCAGATTTTCATCGTTGTTTTAAGAGAAGGGAATGGAACCTAGGGTCTTTTAAAATGATGATCTCAAAATGGACACCTAATTTTTATCCAAATGTTGAATCCCCAATCCTACCCATCTGGATTTCAATTAAAAACCTGCCTATCCATTTCCATGCCAAGGAATCTCTGCTGCAAATATCAACTGTTTTCGGCACGCCTATCAAACTTGACAGCACCACAGAGAACTTTGGGAGGCCATCAATAGCAAGAGTCTGTGTTGAGGTCGACATATCTCAGCCCCAGATCAACAAATTTTTCATTCTAAATGGAGACCAACCAGTATTGTTGGAATGTTTTTATGAGGTTCCAATCTATTTGCCAGATTGTAAAGGGATCTCCAGGCATATGGAAACCTGCAAGCATTTCACAAAGGTGGTTACCCAGACCAAACCTCTGGAGAGAAAACATGAACGGAATATTCCCAGAGAAACAAGGACGGAACCTGTGAGAAACACCTTCCAAAAGAAAGAAGACAAAAATCAGCATCTGAGTACATCCAGCAACCAACAATCTACAAACCAACAAGCCACAAATTCCCATGGACACCGAGCCACTACAGCCCCTGAAAATGAACCCCACCCCCCACCCAGCCCCTACTGCCACTGAAAAGGTTCCCCACCCAGCCAAAAATTCCCATGGACACTCAGCCACTACAGCCCCTGAAAATGAACCCCACCCAACCCCTACTGCCAGTGAAAAGGTTCCCCACCCAACCATGCCCACATCCCTACAAACCATACCCCAAAAACAAACTATTCCCAACACATCAACCTCAAACCCTCTGATTGAAAGCTCATATCCTTCCCCTGTCCTACCTCACAACCTTATCCCTCCTAGCCAAACCCTTCCCACCCCCCTCCAGCCCAACCCTTCCAGCCCAATACACAGCCCAAACCAATCCAGACCAACCCATCCTCCCTACACGCATCTAAAACCTCAACATTAGAAACCCCATCCACCACCCAACCCCCTTCTGAAAACTCTGGGCCCTTACAACCCAAACCTCCTGAAACTTCTGGAAACATGCCTTCATCATCCATTTGTACCCCAACACCTTCTGAAGAGCTCTTTGAACTTGAATCTTTTTTTCCAAGAGGAAATCCTAGAAATCTGCAAGAAAAACAATTCTCAATCAAAGGATGATTCCCTCCTTCCCCAAGCCAAACAAAAATTAACTGTCAGCTACCTTTCTGATGAGGAACTACACCATTCAAAAGATCTTCAACCTAACCAAGCACATACAAACCTGCAAGAAGAAGCACCAATCATCACAGTCAGTAGAAGATCATCAAAAAGATTGCTTGAAAAGCAATCAACAATCAGTTCTCTTCCACCCAGTTATAAATGATCTGTCTATTTTGGAATATTAATGGCATAGCCTCTAAACTTCAGAGACTAGCCATTCTCATCCAGCAACACAAAGTCTCCATTGCTTTCATTATTGAGCCTAAATCTTCAAATAAGAAATTAACCAAGTTCCATCTAGAACTTGTTTTCACCAACTCTATCAGCTCTACAAACAACAAAATCTGGTTAATGTGGAAGGACACCTGCTACAACTTTATAAGCCACACACACAGATCAAATGCTCACTGCTCACCTTACTTGCCACTCCACCAGACAGGAGTACTTCTTATGTGGTATCTATGGTAAACACACTAATGAAGAAAGGAAAAGTCTCTGGGATTCAATCATTGCTCAAAGCAAAAATGAGAGCCAGGCCTGGATCCTTGGAGGGGATTTCAATACCATCACCTCCATGGATCAGTATAAAGGAAAAAGTTCCCCTAACCTCCAAGGCATCCAAGATTTCGACCACTGCATCATGAATAGTGGGCTAATTTCACCCCCTTTCACAGGTAACCCCTTTACTTGGACTGGAGTCAGATCTCTGGGTAGGGTCTAGAAAAGGCTAGACAGGGTGTTTGTCAATAACACTTTCCTTCACAACTACAATGATCTCACTACCATGCATCTCTCTAGAGGTACCTCTGATCATTGCCCTATTTTAGTAAAGGCAGCTAATCCCCCCTTTAATGGCCCAAGACCTTTCAAGTTCCTTAACTGTTGGACTAGCCACCCAACTTTTAAAGAGCTCATCATCAGAAACTGGGGTAATTATTCAGGGGGAAGCATGAGAGGGCTTATGAGCAAACTATCTTTACTTAGAAAAGCTCTTCAGAATTGGAACAAGACAATTTTTGGTAACATCTTCAGCAAAACTAAAGAGCTGGAAAGTTCAGTCCAAGAAGCTGAACTCCTCTACGATGAGCATCCTTCTTCTGCTAACAGGTCCCATCTTAATCATCAAAGAGCTCTTCTTATTCAAGCTACTAATAATGAGTTTGCATATTGGAAACAAAAGCTAGCATCAAATGGATTAAAGAAGGAGATTGTAACTCCTCCTTTTTTCACTCACTGGTTAAAGAGAGAAGATTTTTCCAAAAGATCCAAAAACTTAGATCTTCTGGTGGGACATGGATTCAGAACAATGATGACTTGCTTAATGAAGCCAACACTTATTTTTAGCAACTCTACTCTAAGAAGGAAAGTGTGAACACAGAGGAGTTCCTTCAACACATCCCTAACCTCCTTACTCCTGAGGATAACATCATGCTCTCACAACTCCCTAGTGAGGAAGAGGTCAAAGAAGCCATTTGGAATCTAGACCCTCTAAGTGCTGCAGGACCTGATGGGTTTAATGGAGAATTTTACAAAAACTGTTGGGACATTATTAAGGAGGATGTGATCAGAGCTGTTCA